CAATAATACTTCTGACTGCAGTTCAATTACTCACTATCTTCACACACACACATTACATTATTCTCCCGACACGTTGTCACCCTCTTTTATATACCAGGCTACCCTATATCTAGTAAATACTAGAGCATTCGCCAAGGTACGGAATAGTTCTAGAAACGTGGCGTCACACTAGTCATGTGACTCGCTGACGCAACAATATTAATTACTAAATAACATCTTCTTCGGTCATTCTCCCAGTTCCATAACAAAATTCCGCTTTTTTTTAAAACTTTCATATTTCTATAATAAATTGGGATTTATACTTAAATTGTTATTCGTTTCGAAATTCTGGTTTAACGGACTATTTTGAAGTGTATAAAGAGTAAGGTTACTTAAGTAGTCTTGAAAACTGACAAGCATAAAATTACACACAAGAACTAAGATGATGGGTATTTCCTCGTATAACAAAACACGTGCACAGAAAATTTACTTTTCACGTGAAACGTGTACAAGATATCAAAATATGTTTCATAAAGAGCACGAGTTTCACCCTCATATCAGAAACTTAAAATCAGTAACACTGCATTTTATACTTTTTCATTCTGAATTAGCATCGTCTCTATTAACGCTTCCCACTAACGATAATGAACCTACAAGTTATTTATTTCATTGTTCAAGTCAATTCCTTTCGTAGTTAAAGCGTTCCATTTAATGTTCAATTTGAGAATTTAGACTCACTAAAAGCAATCCTCATAACCAAACTGACAGTGATTTTTATTGAATCACAAAGAAAAATTATCAATACAAAATATTGGCTGGATGTTCTTGATAAACAACAAAATATACAAAAACAAAGAAAATCTAGTAAAATATCACTTAAAAATAGTAGTTGGCTCAAACGAATAGAAGATGCAACCATAAAGTTAAGTAGTCGTTTTTTTACTGTTGATATTTCATGACGAGTTTATGAAAGTTTTTTTTATGGTGTGATAACACATTAAACATTTATACAAATGATAATCTCCCTATGCAAATGTGATAATCTGTGTTGTTAATATTTATTAGATAAGATTTAAAAAAATTTAATAATCTAGGTGACAAGCATAAAGTTATCTACTTATGAGATTACATAAAAGCTTTAAATGTTCTGCAAGTTATTTTGTTGAACGAGGTTATTTAATAAGAAAAATTCTATTGTTCAAAGAATGAAATACCTAAGGTGAGAATATTAAAATAAATCTGAACAACCATTCACCTGAATAGTAAATTACATCAGAATATCTACACACCCAAGTAGGAAAAAGTCACTTAAGAGTTTAGAAGTACTCTTCCCGGACCTTTGAGAAGAACGAAAATTTTACATCAAACAGCGTTTTAAACTAAACTTTATCTTCATTGACAACATGGAATCACGAAAAAAAAATTAAGAATTTTATAAACCGAAATTATATATACACAGAAAATACTTTATAAAACGCAAGAATGCACAGTAGGTACTTTATAAACATTTATACTTTTCATAATTTTCATTCATAGAGTTGAAGAAAAAATACGCATTTACAAAATTTTCTGAGGGATTAAGAAAAAAAAGCCCACACCAATGTTAATAGCCATGTAACTAATTAAATATTCAGATTTAAGGTTATAAGTGCTGACATACTTCGTCAGAATATTTGGGAAACATACACCCTAACATTGGAAGAAATGAGAACCAATAGTTTTTCTATTTTGTTACAGAGATACATGAAAAAAAAACAAACAAGAACCTAGATTAAAGTACTTTTTATATAAGATTTCTTAATCTTCTTTCCAGCACCTAAGCCTAATCTTGGGAGATCAACATTATTATAATTTGTTTAACCAAATATATATATTTGTACATTAGGAAGTATTTATTTAAATTACACACATATATATGCATACTGTATTTTCTTGAAACCTATATCCTACTAAGGCAAAAATCTTCACACCAGACAGTGTTCCTTAAGGGAATCTTTCTGTGGTGCTATAAGACTCTCCATGAAACATCTTATTCCATGAAGTGTTACTCTAACTAGCACACCACCTCCTACACAATTCAAGATAAAACACTTCAAAAGTAACAAAAAATTCACAGCAAAAAATAAACACTCACAAACAATAAAAAAAACAACTTATTATTTAGATATTAAACAATACACACAGTACAACAATTTAAGTTATAATTATTACAAACTAAACATGAAACTTAACAGTTTTTACAAACTTACTTAATGTACACTCTTATCATAAAAATAGAACTTTTGATTTACTTAACATTTTTGCATTCTTTTTATTTCACACAATTTTGTCTGTACAATACACTTCTAGTAAACAAAGACAAGCCTTATCAACTTTAAAGGCATAAAACTGAAACTAAACAAGTAAAGAAACCACTCTAGTCCTCACTTTTTATGTATCAGTGTAATTAGAGTACTTTATTTTTTATCACCTTATATTTAACCACAAAAACTGATCATGCAAACACACATTAAAAAACAATCACTAATTGTATCACAGCCTTAAGGTTCAATGTTTGAACACAAAATAACAAACAATAGAAGATTTTAAGAGATGATATGAATATTTTTCATTTCACAGACAAAATTCACTATATTAGCCACAAATACCTTGTTAATGTTAGAATTCAAAGTGTGAACAAAACAGATAAAACTAATAGTCACAATTTACTGTTTCAGATACAGACAACGCTGTTGTGAGGTAACATGAATATATTTTACAAAAGAGAAGTTGGTTTGAAGATCACAGACACCAAAAGTTTTTGGTGCCGATATTAAAACTTAAAATGGAAATATTAAATAAAAGTAATGCGGATAACTATTTCACAGAGAAAATCTATTATTCCTGGAGTTTTGTGATTATATTGAGGTTGAGAAAGTTCAATAAAACAAAATTAGATACTCATGCACACAATTTTATTTATTATGTTAGTGATAACATTTAGATTTTGAAGTTCAATAAAACTAATACAGATGATGGATCCACAAAGAACATCTTATTCCTGGATATCATGATAACAATTTAGTTTGGAAATTACAATAAAATTAATGCAAATGATGAGCAAACACACATTCCATTACTCCTGGTGTTAGCAATAAATAAATAGAAACTTCAATGAAACTAATATAGTTGACAGATCCACCCAGAACATGTTATTCTTTAACATCATAACACTAAGTTGGAAGAATTTAATAAAATTACTATAGATGACAAGTACACGTAGAATATCCATTATTAGTGGAGTTGGTGATAACATTCAGGTTGGGAAAAACTGAATAGAACTAATACTGGTATCACTCTGTTCAGGAAAATTAATACAAACAATGAATCACCACATATCTTCCACTGTTACTAATAATACTTAAATTAACAAAGAAAATCAAGAACAGTAATCTAAGTGAAAGATTCACATCAAATATTTGTATTTGTGAGAGTTCAAAGAAAAGCTATGTAGGTGAAGACAGTTTCATACCAAATATCTCTTATCTGGTGCTATTGCCTATACAGTTGGAAAAATTCATGAAAAATAACCTAGGTGAAGATTCACAGCAAAAATTTGCAACTTCTGGTGCTACTGATAAACAAATGTTTGGAAATGTGAAAAAGTGATACATTCAGTTGAGAGAATTTATAAGGACTGGATTTATTTCTTGAGCTCCAAAAAAGCAGCTTTATTCAATAATTTCAGGAACTTAATATTTAATAGTAGCAGCTAGCTGCTGTCTTTCTAATTCTTCAGCTAAATAAGCTCTTTGTTGGAAAACTGGTGGCATATCAGGCATTTTCTGTTTCAAGACATCACTTCCAAACCATTTTGCCAAGTTCACAGGAGACTGCTGGTTTGATGGCCCTTGAATAGGAATAAGACCTGGTCTTCCTGAACTAGCAAGATTACCATAGCAACCTAGAATAAAATAGTATAATATCAGTTAAATTGCCAAAATCATTTAAGAGAAACCAGATACAATGTTTTACACATTAAATTATATTATAAGTAAAAGAAAGCTACTTGTAAAACAAATACATGTACACAGGCTGCTTGTGAGACAAAGTAGGATATACTTAGGATAAACTAAAGCATGTATAATTCAATATTTCTTATAAAAGATAAAACAAAGCAGGATGGTTATAAAACAAATACATGCAACAGCATTTCCTGCCATATTATGGTAAAATACACAAACATACACCTGAAAAGTTATATTACACTTGTCATATGAAAGCAGTCCACATAAGCAAGGACAGTCTCCATTTTCCTCCCACATCCAAATTAAGGGTATATGGACCTTTTGGTCCCCACCCACTGTTTGTGCTACTCCCACAACCACTTCACACATTTTACAAATCCTATGTAGATCAATCTAGATCACAAACTAAGTCATTATGGTTCTTTTTGTTTCTTCCTTGCTGATCTTAGTTCTTAAATCCCTCCTCCTTTTTTAAACAGGTTTCTAAACTTTAAGCCACCCATTTAATTTTAACTCATTTTAATAGTACATACATCTGAAAAGTAAACGCTTCTTGTCTTATGGAAGCAGTCCACACACAGCTGCATGGGGAACACTTCCAATCACAATATGGTAATAAAAAAAAACACCCAATATATTTAATTTTAAGAACCTGAGAGAAAGCAAAGAATATGTAATATGTCATCCATACTAGCAGATGAGGCCTTTTACTCAGTAACAGGACTCATCAGAACAACAGTGATATGATAGACGTAAGAGTCATGGCGATATTGGTATTTTAATAATCAATCTCACGAACAATTATTATGGTGTGAACTAGAGTGAGCGAGTTGTAATTATAATTTGTATTTAAGTAGTTTATAGCAATTAATACCATTATTTATTATTAAAATTTTATTTTGAATTAACTTTATTATCATTCAGAAGAATCGGTGAATCAGCAAGTTAGTCATGAAAGCATTCCTGATCCAAATAGTAAACACTTATTAGCATGACACAAAAGTAATTAACACAGATCTGACTAGTTAACCCAAGCCTAACTAGTTAACACCATTCCTTATATGGTATGGCAGTAGTTTAACTCAACTGACCTAAACATTGAACATATTTTCTAATATAAAATGAAAGTAATCCACACATCTGCTCCAGTACAACTGAGGCTTGAATCCAAGCAAATTACAATACAATTTATTTTGGTATGGTAAAAAGCATGCCTTTTAACATTTCAAATGTCCTAAAAAATCCTAGTGGTGCAATCATTTAGAAAAAATTGTGGACTGCTAGAAAATGCATATAAAATCTGTATTCATTGATTGATTTTCTTCACTGAGAACTAGCTTTTGCTTTGTAAAGTTCTATAATATATTAATGTCTTAGGTTGCTCTTTAAGGCATACGAGTAGTGTTTTGGAGGAAACAGTTCAAAATTATAGTGCAATAATGCAAAATTTGGCAAGCTTTCAGTAAACATTGTCCTTTGTACAGTAAAAAAAACTATCAGAATTCCTAATATTTTTGCTAAAAATTAATAATTAAATAAAGGAAGTTGAGTATTGAGTACTACATGTTGTCTTCATTTCTTTTATCAAAAACATTACATACAAAGTAACATAACAAATGAACAATAAGAAAACAGATAC